CACAGGCCTGCGAATTTAAATTTCATAAAAGTTGTTTTGGTTTTAATAACGTATTTTTCCATAATTCAGCTATGCAGATTTCGAAGATAATATTAATTTTTTTTTCTTACTTAGATCAAATTATTATTTCGTTTACCACAATGAACATTTTTTATCATTACGTTTGTTAACAAAAATACAAACAAACTTAAGAAAATGGAAGAACATTGATGTCAGGCGAATAGGCATTCCTCATTCATCCTGACTTCTTTTGTGAAAAATCTGTACGTGATGGAGAAAAATGAATATCATTTTCGGATTCATCGTATAGGAACTACAGTAGAACATGTTATATTAGGAAACTACGTTGTTACGCTGTTAAAACAACAACAACAACAACTTGTAATTAATCTGTATTACCTTTTAATTAACTTGCAATTAATTTATAATCGAATTGTAATTATTATACACTGATTTTTACTAACCTTAGATTACATTCGAGGTATAAATTAATTGAAATTTTAAAATTATATGATCAAAACAGACAGAAAGAAATAAGAACATGGAGCACACAGGACACTTACAAAAATCAAAGATGTTGACTAGATAGGTAGTAAAATTGTGACTAGTAGCGAATTACATAGTGTGGGATAGCAAATGATAATATTTTATTATTATGGTTGTGTTTATCTTTCATTTATGATTTCCTTCTATCGTTTAGTTTATCTATGAATTTTTAGTTGCATTAAAACGCTACCTCACCTTCTAGCTAATCATTTGTATTTTGAGTAAAAATATGTGTATGATGAAACTGACACTAGTTGCCAGATCTGGAAGTAGGGGTTCTTTTATTGATCCAAAGTGGAACTCGTTTTATGTGTAACTTTAGTGCCCAGGGACGAATTTTTTTTCCGAAATATGTATGAAAATGCTATTTCCGCATGCATGCAAAGTGTTACAAAAGCAATTATATAATGAGAGGCCATCATCAAAGAAAGGAAAAAATAAATGTTAATAGGCGAGCTAAACTCCGGCGGTGTGGGGGTTCGTTCGTGCCCTCGACCCCCTCCGGCTATGGACTTGGTCTTAACCTGGGAAGGCTTTATAATCAATTGCTACGTAAACCTCCAAGTCTTTGAAAGCAGGTCATTGAATGGTCTGCAATACAGAGATGAGATCATCCGACAGTACGTTCGTCTTTTTAATGGCTGATAACACGCATCTAATAGATCAACACCTTGAAAGTGAAGATCTTACCCGTATGACCTGGCCAGCGAGATCACTAGATCTGTACTTTACAGAGCATGCCTGGGATTCTCTACAA